TGTGTTGGCACCAGAGGCCAAGTGTACTACACGAGCCTGGCGACGCTGCTGCACCTCGCGCAGGAGGAAGTACCGCAGCTGGATATGCTTCGCTCTGCCCTCAAGTCGTAGCTCTTGACATAGGAGGATCATGGCCCTGTTGTCAGCGTACAGAACTGGGGCAGAGCTAGGCCGCTTACCTAAGTCGGCAAGCAAGAAGGTCAGCCAACGGAGATCCTAAGCCGCCATGGCACCGGCGCAGATCTCACCTCCACAGCTAGACTGGGCAATATACGAGGAGCGAGTGGACCTCCACGAGATGGCACCCGAACCAAGGCTAAAGCATTAGCCCTGGGAGGACCTGAGGGTCTCAGCATCGTCTGCCCAAGAAGCGTCTTTGCGGCACTCTGTCCCGCACCCGACCGCCCGCTGTTTCCGCCACCTCGACGATCTTTTTCGTCGTCGCTTTGGCCCGGCCCCGGACCTCCCCGACTGGCACAGCCTGCTTCGCCAAGGCATGCCGATCTTTGAGTTAGATATGGATCAGATAGGTGCTGCTTTGCATGCCTTGTATGCTAACCCTTCTAGTGTTGCTGGACTCTGTGTACTCTAGTTTAGGCGTTGCACCCTTGTGTAGCTCAGCCTCCCCTGCTGCGTCAGGCGTAGGACTGCCTAGTTTGCCTCGCCTAGTTTCTGCACCGGCTCCGTTCCCGGCCTCCGCTACTGCCTCGCTGTCCTTCACTCTCGACTCCGGTGCTTCTGCCTGTTTCTTCCGCGACCGCTCCTCGCTCACGCCGCTTGCTGCGCCGGCTGTTGTCGCTCTCGCTGACCCCTCTGGGGGTTCTGTCGTCGCTCGCAGCTCCACTTCCCTTCCTTGTCTAGCTGTTCCCTCGGGCTCTCTTACAGGCCTCCACGCTCCCTCGTTCTCCAGGAACCTGGTTGGTGTCGGCTGTCTTCAGGACCTCGGCGTCACCACTACGTTCCCTGGGCACGAGCGGTTCGCTGTGTGTACCGAGGCTGTCTCAGGTTCCCCCCTTGCAACGTTCCCCTGGGACCCGGTGTCCGGTTTGTTTACCCTTGACACCGCTTCCCCCCCGGTTGGTGCGTCCTCCCAGGTTGCTACAGCTTGCTCATGTCGGTCCCTCACTTACCCGTCCCTTTAGTGGCACCACCGCTTAGGTCACCCTGCTCTCCCACGTCTGCGTCACATGTCTCAGCACGGTCTTGTCTTGGGCCTCCCCGCGTCGCTCCCTGCCCTTCCCCCCTCGACTGCGCCACCGTGCACGCCTTGCGTCGAGGGCCGGCTCCGCCGTGCCCCTCACTCCTCCTCACGTCGCCCTGCTACTGCTCCCCTTCAGACCCTGCACCTGGACGTTTGGGGCCCAGCCCCCGTCCTCGGACCGCGCGGTGAGCGCTACTTCCTTGTGCTCGTCGAAGACTTCACGCGCTACACCATGGTGTTTCCCCTGGAGCGGAAGGCCGACGTGCCCGACGTTCTTCTCCCGTGGGTTGTGGCTGCACGTCTTCACCGCGGTCTCCCCGTGTTGTGTCTCCACTCTGACTGTGGCGGCGAGTTCGCCTCTGGTCCGCTTGGACAGTTCTGTCGTGCGGAGGGCATCACCCAGTCGTACACCTTGCCAGACTCGACACAGCAGAATGGGGTTGCTGAGCACTGCATCGGCTTGGTCATGGAGGTTGCTCGCACCTCCATGATTCATGCCGATGCCTCCCATTTTTTGTGGCCGTTCGCTGTTCGCTACGCTGCTCACCAACTTAACTTGTGGCCACGCTCCCAGCGGCCACTTGTTTCGCCGACCCTCCTTTGGACCGGGTCCCCCAGTGACGCGTCTGCATTCCACGTCTGGCGCTGCCTTGCTGACGTTCATGCCTCTGGCACGGACAAGCTCACTGCCCGCACTGTCCCCTGTGTCTTCCTCGGTTTCCCCCTGGACTCGTCTGACTGGCTCTTCTACCACCCGCAGTCTCACCGCTTCCTACACTCTCGTGACGTCACCTTTGACGAGTCGGTCTCCTTCTACCGTCGCTTCCCTCACCGAGGTCTCCCGGTTTCCCCCCCCCTGTTCCTTGTTTCCGTCTCCCCCGGTAGCCCCTCCTCCCCTCGCGCCTCGTCCTACCGCGTCTGGTGTCTCTCATGTCACTCCCCTCCCGTTGGTTGTCCCCGTTGAGGAGTCTGCTGACTCTGGTGGTCCCCCGGGGCCCGTCCTTGCCACATCCCCCTTCTGCGGTGTCTCCGCCCCCACTGTCGCTGTCGCCGCCGCCGCCGCCGCCGCCGCCGCCGCCGTCGCAGTCGCCGCCGCCGCCGCTGCCGCTCTTGGCCTCTGGGGGTGCTGGAGTTGAGGAGGGTGTTCGTCCTGCGGCTTCTGGCGTGGTCTGTCCCGGCGGGACTGCGGGTGCCGCTGGTGCTGGAGGGGGTTCTCGCTCTGAGGGTGTTGGTTCTGGGGGTGCTGTTGTTGAGTGTTTGCCCGGCGGTCGTCGTGCCCCTGCCGGTCCGCGGGTCGAGCACCAGTCGCAGCAGCAACCGCCGCAGCCCTTGCCGTCGGTCTCCGCTCTTTGCCTGCTCAGCCTTCCCTCCCCAGACCGCTCGCCGGTGTCTCCCCCACCACCCTCTCACCTTCCTGTCTACGGCCCTGTGTTCCCGCCGCCGGACTCGACTCCGGCCTGTCTTCCTCCGCGTTCCCCTTTTGTGTCCCCTCCACTGTCTCCAGACCCTACACCTCCATCCCATGACTGCTCTCGCCGTCCCTCACGTGCTCGCCCCGTCTCTCCTGTCCTGCGCTCCCACCCTATGTTGCTCCGTTCCCACTCGTCTCGTCCTCCCCTCCTCCCCTCGCCTCCTCCCTCGTCGCTTGTTGTCTCGCCTCTCTCCTGTCTGACTACCTTCGTGCTGCTCGTCCCCTTGTCCCTCGGGTTCTTGCCACTCTTGTTACAGACTCGACTGTTCCTGTCTCGCGTCTTGACGCACTTGTCGCTGCTGTCGCTGACTTCACCACTACCCGCCGCCTTTTCTACGCTACCGCTCTTGTCTATGACCCTGCCCGTCCTCTGTCCATCGGGGGTGCACCTGCCCTTGGCAGTGACGTTCTAGAGGACAGGCAGTACGAGCTTGCTTTCCTTTCTGAGGCTGCTCCTCATCTCTGCTCCATACTCCTAGTCCCTGAGGGTGACCCAGACGCTTTCGATATCCCGACCCCTCGCACTTACGCTGAGGCAGTCTCGGGACCTTGGGCGTCTCAGTGGATAGCTGCCATGGACCAGGAGATGGCATCTTGGAGATCCACCGGCACCTACGTCGACGCAGTTCCCCCACCTGGGGTGAACGTAGTCGATGGCCGCTGGCTCTTCAAGGTGAAGCGCCCTCTTGGAGAGCCGACTGTGTTCAAGGCGCGCTACGTGGCTAGAGGCTTCAGTCAGTGTGAGGGGGTGGACTTGTTTCAGACTTTCGCTCCGACCCCGAAGATGACTACTCTTCGGGTGCTGCTACACGTAGCAGCACAGCGTGACTACGAGCTTCACTCCCTCGACTTCTCCACTGCGTTTCTTCAGGGCAGTCTACACGAGCACGTCTACATGCGCCTCCCTCAGGGTTTCACTGGTGCCTTCCCTCCTGGGACCCAGTGGCTCCTACGGCGCCCCGTCTACGGCCTGCGGCAAGCTCCCCGTGAGTGGCACGACACGCTGCGTGCTACCCTTGCTTACCTGCTGTTCTTTCCGTCCTCTGCTGACCCCTCGCTCTTCGTTCGTGCTGGCCAGACTCCGTTCTACATCCTTGTTTACGTAGAAGACCTGGTCTTCGCCATTGCCGATAGGGACGCATTGGCCTCAATCAAGGCAGAGCTGCTAAAGAGACACACCTGCACTGACCTAGGAGAGCTGCGCCGTTACCTTGGCTTGCAGATCTCCAGGGACAGAGCAGCGCACACCATCACCCTCACTCAGTCACACTTGGTGCGCCAGGTCCTTCAGAGGTTCGGCCTTCAGTTCTCCTCCACACAACCCACACCTCTGTCCGTAGACCACGCGCTCCCGGCTACTGTCCTTGAGGAGTTGGTAGAGCCCAGTGGCCCTTACGCCGAGTTGGTGGGTTGCCTCATGTACCTGATGACTTGCACTCGCCCAGATCTCGCATACCCTCTCAGCATCTTGGCTCGCTTTGTGGCCACACGCAGACACCAACTTGAGCATTGGTCTGCCGCTAAGAGGGTTTTGCGTTATCTTGCAAGTACATCGGGCATGGGGTTAGTGCTTGGAGGGCGCAGTCCAGTGATCCTTACTGGGCACACAGACGCTTCGTGGGCGGACGACGCCGAGAGCCTTAGGTCCTCGCAGGGCTACTGCTTTAGCCTTGGTTCAGGTGCTGTCTCATGGAGAGCTACTCGCTCCTCGTTTGTTGCCCAATCCAGCTGTGAGGCCGAGATCTACGCGGGTGCCATGGCGGCACAGGAGCTCCGCTGGCTGACCTTCTTGCTCACTGACTTAGGTGAGCAGCCTAGCTCTGCCCGGGTCCTGTACGCTGACAACAAGGCCATGATCCTCCTGTGTCAGGAGCCGCGACTCGAGGGCAGAGCGAAGCACATCCAACTGCGGCACTTCCTCCTGCGTGAGCTACAGCAGCGCTGCCGGGGTCGTGTAGTACACTTGGCCTCCGGTGCCAACACAGCTGATATCTTTACGAAGGCACTTGCGCCTAAAGATCATCAGCGGCACTGTGTACAGCTAGGTCTTGTTCCTGTAGCCTCTCACTTGCTAGGGCCTTGACTGTGTACAGACCTTTTATATATTTTATTCTGACTGGCCTTGTGGCCTCTTCCAGTGGCTGGACTTGTAGTGCCGCCCTGGTTTTGCTTTTGGCTTGTGTCTGTACTTGTTTGACTGGTCTTTAGACCCTTGCCTCAGAGGTCGGACTAGTAGTGCCACCCTGAGCTGCTTGTTCTCTCGTTAGGAACTGCTCCTATACAGTGTAGGGGGTGCATCAAACATATATTGTTATGTTTGTATTGACTGTATAGGTTTGTGTCTTAGAGGGCACAGCTTCTAGGTTATATTACCTTGTACTCTCCCATTCTAGTTCGATTCTTGCATTCTAACACCTAGGGCTATTCTCAACCGAACAGTGGGAATCACAACACACTAGTCTGGGATAGCAGTGGCATTTGAATGTCCGTCAGGGAAGATTATGGTGCATGCATTGATGCTTGAATGAAAATTAGAACCTACCAATGCAGGTTCACGTATGTAGCATACTCAACGTGGCACCCACAGCATGCAGCGACCCTGTCACACACACCACCACCCTCTCCCTCCACTCCCTCGCCGGATGCTTCCTTGCCCGCTCCCTCGTGCCCCAATCCCCTTGTGCCTCCCCGGCACCTTCCACGTGCCTTGTGCCCTCTCCCTTGCCCTGGGCAAGCGGGTCCCCCTCAGGAGCTCTATGGTGCACGAGGAACCGCCCTCCCTGGGAGAAACCGAGAGCAGCTGCGAGTGCAGTGGGGATGTCGGGCAATGCAGCGAGGCAGGGCATGGAGGGCTCCCCGGGAGCAGGGCGGGCGGTTGGCAGGTTGAGGCGTGCAATGGAGAGCAGCGCGGAGGGCGCCATGGTGCGCAGGGATGATGCGGCTATGGGCACTGCGGTGCACAGCACTGCTGCTGGCACGATGCCTGCCAGGGGGGGAAGAGAGGGAAGAGAAGAACGGGAAAGCGGGCAGAATGAATGGGAATGGGGAAAGGAAGGTGTTACGACGAAGTGACAGGATGAAAGAGCAGGTATGTCTGGTGCAGACAGGATGGCTGTGAGGAAGGCGACATGTGGGGGAGAACTGGACATGGAAAATGGGTTAGAAACGCGACGGGAAAGCACGGAGAGGGGAGAGGACGGACGCGGAAGAGGTGAAGATGAGGCAATGACATGCCTGAAGTGCATTGCGCTGACTGCTGGTATGAGACCATGGGAGACAACAAAGATGAGGAAGCAAGGGAGGACTAGCACTCAAGTGTTAGATGTGGTGACCGGCAACGAACTTGAAGCCTGAAACGGACCTGAGAAGAGCCGAGAGAAGAACTCGTGGTGCTGCTTGTCTGCTGCCATGGCAACCACAAACACAAACCGCGCTCTCTCACCCACATCCTCCCCTCCCATCCCACTTCCGTTCAACCTGCCCTCTTCACTCCCCTGCCCCCTGCCCCTGCCACTGCATGCTGCCCCATGCACAGGCGCGGTGGCATGCTCAAGGGCCCTGCGCGGTTGAGGGCGCTTGCTGCAGTCGCTGGGCGTGCTGCTGCCCGCCCCAAACACCTGGCGCAGTGTGGCAGCCAGCGCCGTAGCTGAGTCGCCCGTGTGCGCTGCACACGCACATGACAGCAGGAGGTGCACGCTCATGGGCCACGCAGGGGAGAAGGTGCGGAATGGAAGGGAAAAACTGGACGCCAGTGCTGGCGAGAGCAGGTGCAGATCACGCACGCAAAGCGACAGCACAGTGAGGAAGATGGACGCACATAGGGGAGTGGAGAGTGGAGGCAGCATGGAGAGACAGGAGAGAGCATGGCGGCGCACCTCCATCGAGAACAACAAACAGCTCACTCCCTGTCTCCTCCTCCCCTCTGCCAAACTCTCCCTCACCTCCCCTCTCCATCTCCGCCTCCTTTCCCGCTTCCCCTCCCTGCACGTGTCCCCCATCCTGCCTCTCTCCCCCCTCCTCTCCTCCTGCCACCCCATCCCTTCTCCCCCCCAGCGTATTTCTCTCCCCCATCCCTGTTGCTGCCAGCACGGTGCGCATGAGCGCGTGCACCTGCGCCGCATCCAGCACCTGGAAGCGCCCCGGCAGTGCCGTGCACAGTAGCCCCTGGCGCAGGGCGGCGTCTGAGATGCAGCGGCCCACGGGCCCCATGGCGTGGCGCAACAGCACCGCCGTGGCCACAGCCGTGGCAGCGTTGGCCGTCTGGTGCGCTCCCACCATGCCCACATGCACGTCCCTCAGATGCAGCTGGGGACGGCGGTGGTGCAGTGGAAGCAGGGGAGCGGGAGCGAGGTGGGAGGAAAATGGAGGATCACGGCGGAAGGGTTTATCGCAGGCCAGACAGCACATCATCGCACAAAACACAGCTGTAAGGTGCACAGATATGCACGCACATGAAAGGGTAATGGCACGCAACATGAGTGCATGCCTGCGCACATACACTGTGCGGCACGCACCTTACCCGCCCCTGCATCCCCAGTGAGCGCCGCCATATCCACTGTAAAGTCAGCCAGGGAGGCAGTGCAGCGCGCACCCACCACAATGCCCCTCTCCCGCCACTCCACACCTGCTCCCATGCCGCTCCTTGCCTGCCACGCGCGCTGCTGCTCTGACACCGCCCCCTCTGTGCATGCCAGTGACACTTGCCCCTGCGCCCCCTCCCTGCTCTCACTCCACTCAGTTAGCTCGCCCTCAGGCCCCTCAGCAGACGTGCTGCTGCTTCCAGCCCACACCCCCCCAGCAGGGTTGCCACAGCTGCTGGTGGCCGTGGTGTGGGGCGCGGCGACAAGCACGGTGGGGCAGTGCAGGCGGTGCGCGCGAGAGAGCAGCTGAGGGAGGGCCGTAGGGTGAGGCTGGGGCGCAATGACGACCTGCACGGAAGGCACAAGGGAAGTAGGGTGCGGAATGTTAACGGGCGGATGGTGGTATGAAGTCTCGTGCAACCTGGGACAATTGTAAGGGGGTTCACCTCTCATGTTGGCTGCTATGCTGCCATGCCATGCCATAACCATGATATGCCATGCCATGCCATGCTGTGCTGTGGCACGTATAGTGCACGATGCATTCTGTGAATAACTATACCATGGATGGCATACCATGCCATACTACTCTACGCCACTATCCCATGCAAGCCCATGCCATATGATGCCCTATCACATCACGCCATGCCATCCACCCCTCTTCACCCCCCACAACCGCACCCCACCGGCACCCCTGTCTTGATGATGCCTGCCTTGGCGCGCACTATGCTGTCCAGCGACCCCCCGAGCGCGCCCACATGGTCCAGCCCGATGGGCGTGATCACCGCCGCTGCCAGACTAGCGGGTGGAATCACGTTCGTGGCGTCACACACGCCGCCCAGCCCCACCTGCGCGCACAACGCACAGGAGGATGAGTGGCGATGATCAAGTAAGGAGGCCAAGAATAGGCAACCCCACCCCACATTCGCCAACCCAAGAACGGCAGCATGCACCCACTCCTGCTTCTCATCCTGCTTGCAGCTGCACACCACCCCTGAGGTAAACGACTGTTGCCCCTCCCATTGCCGCTCACCTCCACCACGGCCACGTCGACTCGCTGCTCCGCAAAGAACGTGAATGCCAGCGCTGTCAGCACCTGCCACCGCGCACACGCACACGCCACGGGAAGGTGCCAGAGAATCGACGAGACGAGAGAAGAGACATCCTCAGTCTCCTTCTCCTAACAGCTACTCAAGCCCTCCCTTCCCTACCTGCCTTGTTTAGTGACTTTCTTTCAACCCAGTTCATGTTATGGTGGCACCTCGCGTTGGCGGCCTCCGGCTGCGCATTAGGGGATGGCAAGACGCACAAGATCGCTGGATACAAACGCGCAATCAAGACACTGCAAGACAAGCCAAGGACAACGGCAATGGACCCCCCACTTAGGACCATGCAAATGGTCTAATGGCGGCACACCACTTGTTGGAGCTGGCAGGACGCCTGATGCCGGCGGATCGGCATTACGCCCGCCGCGGTGCCCGCCCCCCCTATGCCACAAGCAGATCATCCAGCAGGAGTGCCACAGCTCGGTCAACCTCACCGAGTGCTGACACGCAGCCGTCCAGCACTCCTGAGGCTCGCTCTGCCCGACTCTCCTCCAGATCCACCACCACCGCGGCGGTGCCCACCGGCAGTGCTCTTCCTGGAGCGAGCCCGGCCCACGACGCGACCAGCGCCACCTTCGCCAATGCCACCTGTGCCTGGCACTGGCGCAGCTGATGGCCCATCAGGACGCCCTCCTGCCGTGGACGGCACATTGCGTAGCAGGCAACCTCAAAGATGGACGTCAGCCGCATAACGCAGCTCATCCGCTGCAGCGTCGCCACTGTCAAAGCCTCCAGTGGACAGTCCATTCGTGCGGGGGCGCTTCGGACGACGTGCGCTCGCCAAATGCTGAGACTCCTCCTCCTCCCACACTCCGTCCTTACCCTGCCCCCCGCCCTGCGCTTGGATCTCCTCCAGCGCCGGAACTGACGCCGTGGAGCACGCGGTCCCCCTGTCACTGCCCCGTGGCATCAATGAGCGGCAGCGGGTGTGGGACCAGTCTTCCCTGCCCACCACCCTCAACGGGCTTGGGATAAGCAACCCCGTGGCAGAGGCGGGTCCGAGTCACCTCACCCCTTCCGCAGCTTCTGCCCACCTGCTCAGTGGCCCCCCCTTAGTCCTGCCAGTCGTAGCCAGCCTGCTCGAGCAGTTCGTACCAGACCCCGCCGCCGCCGCTCCCCTCCCTTGAGAATGCCTTGCCACCGTCTCCCACGGAACTGCTGCGCCAAGAGCGGATTTCCCCCGACCTTACAAAGCCCCAGCGGGCGCTTGCGCTCCATGCCCAAGCGGAGCAGCTCACACTCCTGCTCCAACGCACCCGCCAGCTGCCCCTCAACCCGCTGCAACGGCACACACAACGCCTGCTCTCCCTCATGGGACCAGGCGCTGGCAACTGCCTGCATGCCCTCCCCATGTCCTCCTCCCTCCGCCTCTCCACGGCGGTCGCCTTGCGCCTCAAGTCACCGCATTCCACTCCCCACATCTGCCACTCCCCCAAACGCACCGCCATCCAGGACCCCCGCTTATCCAACCACCTCCTCACGTGCGCCAAGGGCCCTGGACAGACAGGCACACACCACAGCCTGCGTGACGAGTGCGCCCGCATCGCCATCGAGGCCGGCTTTTTCACGTGCAAAGAGACGAACCTCTTCACGCAGGTGGCCAACCTCTGGGCTGACGTCGCCATCCGCCAACCTGACTCGGGGGCGGTCTGGCTGTGTGATGTCACAGTAACCGACCCTGTCTCCAAGGACGACCCATTCGCACGCAAAAGGACCCGCTGGGCGGCAAGAGACGCCGCCAGGGGGGAGGAAGTATTGCCCGCTCGCCAGGGCTGAGGGGCCGGGTTCTTCGTGATGGCGGCAGAGACATACGGGCTCCTGTACCCTGGCGTCTTTGGTTCTTTGTCCTCCGGCAATGCGCAGAGCTGGCGGCGAAGAAACGCCACGATGCGGCACCTGCCTCGCGTGAAGCTGCCAAACTCTTTCACGAGTACTGACACGGTGGTCGGTCACCTTGCAGTGCGAGCAGGCCGTGGCCCTCAACACAAAGACCAACCAGGCCCTGGCGGTGGAGGAATGGCCCCTGGACGACCTGCTGCACGTTTTAGGGCCCGTGCAGCGGAACCCTTAGGGCTCTCCGGACTGGGCTGTTAGGACTCACCTGTATGCGTCGTTGCCTGCCATGCATGTACTCTTTCTATCTAATACAAGGACCAATTGAGGAGCAAGGTGGAACATAAGAGGCGGGATTAGAAAAGGGCGAGGAAATGTGGGACGTAAAGCATGAGAGGGACTAGCAGTGCTGCCATCCCACAAACCCATGCCACCCCACAGTCCCATGCCACCCCACAGCCCCATGCCACCCCACAGCCCCATGCCACCCCACAGCCCCATGCCACCCCACAGCCCCATGCCACCCCACAGCCCCATGCCACCCCACAGCCCCATGCCACCCCACAGCCCCATGCCACCCCACAGCCCCATGCCACCCCACAGCCCCATGGCAGGCACAGCCCCATGGCAGGCACAGCCCCAAAGCAGGCACAGTCTCATGGCAGGCACAGCACCATGGCAGGCACGGCAGGCACCTCAAAGTGTGAGAGCAACCCGCCTGTGCTCTTCTCGTCCTCCCACACCGCGTCCACTGTCGTCGCATGCCGCGCCACCAGCGCTGCCAGCTGCGCGTCGCTGGCGGGCTGCCCCAAGGGCCCCACCACGCGCTCGTTCAGGCACAGCACGTGCGGGCTGCCGGCCAAAAAGGGCAAGAGCGGGTATACGACGACTCAAGCGGTTGGGACGGAGAGTTGATGGCGGGATGGAGGCGAGGAGGTGGGGGTGCAGATGGGAGGGGGACAGAGAGCAGCAGGAAATGAAGCGAAGTAGGAGGTGTGCTTCCAAGCACAGCAGAAGTGCATTGTGGTGCAGCATCAAGGTACCTGGTGTACGCGCCCACTGCAAGGCCTGCGGCGCGCAAGATGCTGGCGATGAAGTGTACGGTGGAGCCCTTGCCCTTGGTACCCGCCACGTGCACCACCTGCCCGCACACACGCATGGCGGAAAGGCAAACAGTTGGCATGCAGCATACTGCGTGATTATGAATTGCCTCTGAGATATGCACCATATCATGGGGCTTCGTTCGAACTGAGCGACTTCAAGCTATCGCCGCCCGCACATGACATGCACATCCTCCACTTCCCAGACGCCGCCCCGCTGCCATTCACGCCACATCCATCCATCCATCCATCCATCCATCCATCCATCCATCCATCCATCCATCCATCCATCCATCCATCCATCCATCCATCCATCCATCCATCCATCCATCCATCCATCCATCCATCCATCCATCCATCCATCCATCCATCCATCCCAGATTCCACCCACTCTCCCGTAACATCCCCCATTCATTTCTATCTCTCATACATATTAAATCTGTCCAATCCTGACCTTCGGCCTTTTGCCCTCCACTCTCCCCCGTTCCTTTCCTTCTCCCCCCCCACCTTGTACTGCTCTATGGGCGACCCCAGGGCGGCCATCAGTCGGTGCATGCGCCGCAAGTCAAACCGCTCCTCCCCTGCCCCCACCGCGCGCCTCTGCTGCTCGCCTGCCGCCGCACCTCCCCCCCTCCCCACGCCCTGCCGCACACCCACTCCACCGCCCAGCCCCCCGGCGTGCTGCCCTGCACCCTCCTCCCCGCCCCTTCCACACCCGCTTGCTGCTCGCTGCTCGCCCGTGGTGGCGCCACCCTCGCGGTTGTCCGTTGCTGCGTGGCCCGCACCGTCAGCACCAGCAGCGGCAGCGCCATGCGGCACGCCGTGCTTCTCGTAGTCAATGAACCGCCGCAGATACGCCTCCATCACGCGCCGCTCTCGCCAACCGCCTCGCTCAACGTGGTTACCATCGCCGCTTTCGCCTGTCAATCGCCCCTTTCTCTCCCCGCCACGGACTACACTCCCCTTTCCACCGTCACTGTGACTGCTGTGGCCACTAATGCTCCTGATGCTACGAATCCTGCTCTCACTGTCAGCGATGAGTCCCAGCCGTCGATCCCTCGTGCCTGCGGCACGGGAGTGGGGCGGAAGAGGCGGCGACGGGCAGCCGAGCATGCACGGCGGGTGGGCGGCGTACACGCAGCGGTTGGGATGGGCGCGGGGTTGCGGGCACGGGGAGAGCCACGGAGCGACCTCGCTGCGCACGGGGCGGGGCGTGGAGCAAGCGCGCGGCGGGCTGTGCGATGGGCGCGGGAGCGACGGGGGGGAGGTGCCGGCGAAAGCAGGAGGGAGGACGAGGAGACGGGGGGCGAGATGGGCGTGACGGCACGTGGGTGAGCCCCGGTGTGCGGACGGCGTGAGGGGATCGCACGGACTCACGGCTCCCAGACTCTCAAGCGCGCGGCAGGGAGCGAGCGCTGTGACGCCCCACGCGGTTCTTTGGAACGCGGCGAGGGCGCGAGGCAGGAGAGGGGGATGGGGATGCTGGACGGCAGTAAGGGCCCGCGGCAGCATGGCGCGCCGTCACGCGCTCAACGGTCGCCGTGCCACGTTGCGCGGCTGGTGGGCGGCTTGAGGAGCACACGAAAGACACAGCACGTCACATTCTGGGAGGGTGGGCAACCTCAATAGGCACAGGGAATACGGGCGACAATGTGGAAAAGGAAGTGTATGGGAACAAATCACCGCAACCATGCTCGCAGTGCTCATGGGAGAACTCTGTTACATTTTTAAAGATGGACTAAGCAACTTTCACAATCATGGTTTTTCTGAGGGAAAATACATCGGCACTCAGTATTAGGGGCCTCGATAACATGTACGGTCAGTGACACGATACAAACAATCAGAATTAGTGAGTTCGCAACATGTTTCATCAGTCGGGTTCCACCGTTAGTAAGAAACTACAGAAAAAACGTTCCACGAATGGTCAGTAGAAGTAACCCTCGCCCGTTTCGGAACGTTTTCCCACCCGCGCCAGTCCGATTTCGTCATCATTGTGGCTGGCGCGATATTTTTCTCAAGCTCCAGGCGCAGTTCGAGCGAAAAAACACAATATGCCCAAATTAAAATTCGTTGGACATTTGTTTGTCGAGAAACACGAAAACACGATTTTGTTTCGAATGACATACTTTTGTCACAGAGTGTAGCGTGTCTCGCGATGATAAAAAAATGGTGGCTTTGTCTCCATCGCATTTACGGCCCCCAAAAAAAGTCAAGCCATAAACTGTCAAACATGTTTAGTTATCATGCTTGTATAGACTGTATAGGGTCATCTTCTAGAGAGTACAACTGTTAGGTATATGTTTGTGTACTCTCTCTCTCTATTTACAAATTTCACTGTTTGATATGGTATCACGCGTAGGTAGGATCCCCCCCCCCCCCCCCCCCCCTCACGCTTCCGCTCGCCCCCTAGCTGGGCCCCGTCGTGCTCCTAGCCCCGTCGCGACCCTCCCTAGCCCCGTCGCGACCCTCCCTAGCCCCGTCGCGCCCCTTCCTGGGCCCCGTTGCGCCCCTTTCTGGGCCCCGTCGCGCTCCTCCCAGGCCTCGTAGCGCCCCTCCAGGCCCCGTCGCGCCCCTTTCAGGGCTTCGTAGCGCCCCTCCAGGCCCCGTCGCGCCCCTTCCAGGGCCTGGTAGCGCCCCTCCAGGGCCCCGTCGCGCTCCTCCCAGGCCCCGTAGCGCCCCTCCTGGGCCCCATTGCGCTCCTCCCAGGCCCCGTCGCGCCCCTCCCTAGCCCAGTCGCGCTCCTCCCAGGCCCCGTAGCGCCCCTCCTGGGCCCCTTTGCGCTCCTCCCAGGCCCCGTCGCGCCCCTTCCAGGGCTTCGTAGCGCCCCTCCAGGCCCCGTCGCGCCCCTTTCAGGGCTTCGTAGCGCCCCTCCAGGCCCCGTCGCGCCCCTTCCAGGGCCTGGTAGCGCCCCTCCAGGGCCCCGTCGCGCTCCTCCCAGGCCCCGTAGCGCCCCTCCTGGGCCCCATTGCGCTCCCCCCAGGCCCCGTCGCGCCCCTACCTGGGCTTGGTAACGCCCCTCCAGGCCCCGTCGCGCCCCTACCCATCCCCGTCGCCCCTGCTCGGCCCCGTCGCCCCTGCTCGGCCCCGTCGCCCCTGCTCGGCCCCGTCGCCCCTGCTCGGCCCCGTCGCGGCCTATCGGCCGCGTGGCGCCCGCCCGGCCCCTGTCGCGGCTGCCCGGCCCCTGTCGCACCTGCCCGGCCCCTGCTCGCCCGCCCGGCCCCGTCGCCCCTGCCCGGCCCTGCTGTGGCCTGCCCGGGCCCCGTCCCTGCCGCCCGGCCCCGTCGCAGCCGCCCGGCCCCGTCGCAGCCGCCCGGCCACGTCGCAGCCGCCCGGCCACGTCGCAGCCGCCCGGCCCCGTCGCCCCTGCCCGGCCCTGCTGTGTCCGGCCCGGCCTCGTCCCTGCCGCCCGGCCCCGTCGCAGCCGCCCGGCCACGTCGCAGCCGCCCGGCCACGTCGCAGCCGCCCGGCCTTGTCGCTGCCGCCCGGCCCCGTCGCCGCCGCCCGGCCCCGTCGCAGCCGCCCGGCCCCGTTGCCGCCGCCCGGCCTTGTCGTGCCTGCCCGGCCCCGACGCACCTGCCCCGGCCCTCCATACTTCCTGGTACTGTCCCCCGTTCCCCGCACCACTTTGCACCCTCCTGCACTTTCCTGCCCCGCCTTGCATCGCATTGCACCTCCCTGGATCGCACTGACCGCACTGCACCGCACTGGACCGCACTGCACCGCACTGCATCGCACTGCACCGCACTGGACCGCACTGCACCGCACTGCATCGCACTGCACCGCACTGCACTGTCCTCCACTGCCCCTCATGGCTGCTGAGCTTCGTTTTGATGTTGAGGGTCAGCCTCTGGAGTTCGAGGCGTGGTTGGCTGACCTTCGCCGCCACCTCACTGGCCAGCGGCAGGACGGCCACCCGCTTTCTGCACACCTAGACGGTATGCTCCCCTGCCCTGACCCCCTGCTGTGCTGCCCGCTGATCCCACGCCCGCTGAGCGCGAGTCCACTGCCGCTGCTGCCCTTGCCCGCTCTGTCTGGCTTTCCCGCGATGCCCTTGCTCAGCTCGCCATTAGCAATGCCCTCCCCCCCACTGAGCGCCCTCGCTTTAGAACCATTCCTACCGCCCAGGCCTACCTCGATGCTGTCATCAAGCGCTATTCTACCCCTCCTGCTGCCTCAGTGGGTCGCCTGATCCTTCCCCTGCTCTTTCCTGACCTGACGTCTTTCCCCACTGTCTCTGACCTCGCTGCCCACCTGCGCTCGATAGATGAGGCCTGGCGCGCTGCCTGCACTGATGCTCAGCTTAGAGTCCACCAGCCTCCCATGACCTCTACCCTCTACCTCCTTGCCACCCGCCTACCTGACCGCCTTGCCGCCGCCCGCGACCAGTTCCTTAGCATCCACCCTGCTGCTCTCACCTTCACCGACTTTGTTGACACCCTGACTGCCATAGAGACTCGTCACCGCTCCATAGCCCTGGCGAGCGGTACAGTACAGGTCCCTATCTTTCAGGGTTGTGCCCCCGCTCAGTGTACCTTCTCCGACGGCTCTGTTGCTGTGGCTGAGACTGCTGCTGCAGTGCAGTCCCGCTCGGCGAAGGGCCGCCGCCCCAAGGTTGGGAGCGGCGGAGGCGGCGGGGGTGCGGGTGGGGGTAGTGGTGGAGGCGGGTCGTCCGGTGCCGGTGCCGACGTGGGGACCCTGCCCGGTCCAGCTGCCCCGCTGCCTCCACAGTTGCAGCAGCCGCAGCAGCAGCAGTCGCCGCAGCCGCAGCCTTCGCAGCAGCCGCAGCAGCCGCCGCAAACGAGGCAGGCGAGTACTCTCCCACCTGGGTGGCCTGGAGCTGGTGGTGGTCGTGCGCGTGGTGGTGCACCGGGTGGTGGTTCTGGAGGCGGGCCCTGTCAGTACCAGATCCAGACCGGTCCTCGCCGCGGCTTCGTTTGCGGTAAGATCGGTCATTCTCCTCCTCGCTGTTTTCGTCGCCTGGACGACCTGTTCCGCCAGCGCTTTGGCCCGGCGCCCGACCTCCCGGACTGGCACAGCTTGCTTAGGCGTAGCATTAGGATTTTTGACTTGGACATGGATGCCATTGTAGCGGCCTTGCATGTGATGTATGCTGATGACTCTAGTGTGCTTCCCTCTTATTACCCCGTGTTGCCTAGTGTAGCGGTGCCTAGCGTAGACTCCCCTGCTGCGTCAGGCGTAGGATCTCCTGCTTTGCTTAGCCTTGGTGCTTCCACCGCTTCACTGCTGCCTCGCGCGACTGCTGCGCTTTCCTTCACCTTGGACTCTGGCGCCTCCCGGTGTTTCTTCCGCGACTCCACGACGCTGACGCCGCTGCCTGTTCCCGCTGCAGTTACTCTTGCTGACCCCTCCGGTGGTCCCGTCGTTGCCCGCAGTTCCACCTCCCTTCCCTGTCCGGCGGTTCCTTCGTGCACTCTCATAGGTCTGCATATCCCCTCGTTCTCCAGGAACCTAGTTGGTGTCGGCTGCCTCCAGGACCTTGGCGTCACCACTACGTTCCCTGGTCACGAGCGGTATGCTGTCTGTACCGAGGCCGCCTCTGGTGCCCCCCTGTCCACGTTCCCCCGGGACCCAGTGTCCGGCCTGTTCACTCTGGACACCGTGACCCCCCCGGCTGGAGCGCTCCCTCAGGTGGCTGCGTCTACCCAGGTTGCTGCTGCCTGCTCCTGTCGGTCCCTCACTCACCCGACTCTCCTTTGGCACCACCGCCTAGGTCACCCTGCGCTCCCGCGTCTGCGTCACATGTCCCAGCACGGTCTCGTCCTTGGTCTCCCCGGTTCGTTCCCCGAGTTTCCCTCCTCCCCCGCCCCACCGTGCACGCCTTGTGTCGAGGGCCGGCTCCGCCGTGCCCCTCACTCCTCCTCTTTTCCCCCTACCACCGCACCACTGCAGACTCTGCACATGGACGTCTGGGGCCCAGCCCCGGTCCATGGGCCGCGTCGCGAGCGCTTCTTCCTAGTGCTTGTCGACGACTTCACGCGCTACACCACCGTCTTCCCCCTGGAGCGGAAGGCCGACGTGCCTGACGTTCTCATCCCCTGGCTTGTCTCTGCTCGTGTCCACCGCGGTCTCCCTGCCTTGCGCCTTCACTCTGACCGGGGTGGCGAGTTTGCCTCAGGTGTCCTTGGTCGCTTCTGTCGTGCGGAGGGCATCACCCAGACGTTTACCCTGCCGGACTCCCCGCAGCAGAATGGGGTCGCTGAGCGACGCATCGGTTTGGTCATGGAGGTGGCTCGCACCTCCATGATCCACGCCGGTGCACCCCATTTTCTGTGGCCGTTCGCCGTGCGCTACGCCGCTCACCAGCTTAACCTGTGGCCGCACCCCCAGCGGCCGCAGGTTTCGCCGACCCTTCTGTGGACCGGGTCCCCTGGTGACGCGTCTGCGTTCCGCGTCTGGGGCTGCCTTGCTCACGTTCGTGCCTCTGGCACGGACAAGCTCACTGCCCGCACCCTCCCCTGCGTCTTCCTCGGTTTCCCCCTTGACGCGTCCGACTGGCACTTCTACCACCCGCCGTCTCACCGTTTCTTTCACTCTCGCGACGTCACCTTTGACGAGTCCGTCTCCTTCTACCGCCGCTTTCCCCACCGTGGTCCCCCGGTT